CCGATGGACAGCCACCGCCTCCACCCGCCGACGGGGCGCCGCCACCAGAAGCACAGCCATCAGGGGCTCCGGCATCGGGAGCGCAGTCGGCGCGTTCGGGTAGTGTGACGGGAGCACCGAAACAAGGTTCGGCTGCATCGGCTGGAACAAGTGGATCAGGTACAAATGTAAACTCAGCGGCCGGTTCTTCAGCGACCAATCCTTCAGCAGACGGTTCTTCTGCGGCCGGATCTGCGGCCGGATCTGCAGCCGCTTCATCAGCGCCCGGATCGACAGCCGCCGGATCGTCAACAGCCGGTTCAAAGGCTGCGTCGGCCGCGTCCTCAAAGGGTGGGACGTCTGCTATGTTTGCCCCGCCTTCGAGTCAGGCCAAGAGTGGAGCCCCCGGTTCTGCCGCCGCCAGCGGGACATCGAAAGCTGGATCTCAAGCGCCATCAAAAGCGGGCTCTCAGGTGCCATCAAAACAAGGATCTCAAGTGCCATCGAAAGCCGCATCTCAGGCCACATCAAAACAAGGATCAGTTGCTGGAAGTCAGGCGGCGTCGAGCGCCGCATCAAAGACAGCGACCGGATCGGCGGCGGGCGGCGCACCCGCTTCGGCCGCTGCGGCCACCGGTAGTACTACTCCTTCAAAGTCTTGAATCTAAAACAACATAATATTTAATCAAAACTCATATGTTTTTCATTCAATACCAAGAGATATAGAAATTGAATATATTTTTGTTTATTTTTAATTGAATGAAATTAAATCAGTCATGAAATCAATCAAATAAAATTAGTCGTTAAGAAATTATTTTTAACATTTAATTAAGTGGTCGATAACGGGTAACGGCTGGAGTGCGATGTCTTTTATAAATATAAATAGTAGTAATGATTATTAATAACATTAGAGAAGTGATTACAATAACCAGAACTGACATTTCAGACTTTGTTAAGTTTTGACTAGACTTTTCACTTGTAGTGATTGTCGGATCAGTTATTATATCCATTGTCTTTGTATCGCTCGTTATTTTTACTTCGTGTGTTTTTTCTTTAATGATAACATTTTTATCAGTGATTATTTCGCTATCAGTTGTACTCAACAAATCTGATATTGTATTCACCGGCTTATCGTTTAAAAGCGTGTAATTTTGTGTTAAATTAATGTTTAAATTAGTGATGTTTGAAAGCAAATACTCGATATCGTCATCAATAGGTGCGATAGGAAGCGGACAATCTTTCTCGTCGCTACCAAATGGACAGTTATTATGTCCGTCACATTCAAACCCATTATAAATACATGTCTGTTGTCCGCCGTCACACCTAATGGTGTCCGACTCCATACATGTCTTATTCCAAACGCCTAATGTGTTTAGAAATTTTATTTTATTATATTTTAAGGTAATAATAGTTTATATATTGAACAATGAGTTATATATTGATTATAAATGATAATAATATTTACCATTAAATGTAGTGATTGTTAATTCAAATTGTGATGTGCTATCATTTCCTGTATTAAATTCAACATTCAATTGTTTGCCACGAAATACCAAACTATTATTATCACTAATATTTCCACACCATTTAGATTTATCATTAAATTTTATATAATCGCCGCAATTATCGGCCGAAAGCGACACAAATTTAGGGGTTATAATAAACCCCAAAATCTCTTCTCCTATAATCTTAGCCAAACATTTGTGATTAGACTTTATATCGGAATCCGATGGACGCAAAGTAAGAGCCGAATAAACACCAGAATTACTGATTAGTATTCTTCGGTCAAGATTTTCATCGCAATAGTCTTGTATGAAATCTATAAAAAAATACAAGAATTTTAATTAGAAAGTGATTAATAGCTGTTACTTTTGAATGGTAACTTAGCACATTTTATAACTCACATGTTGTATAATACGATTGAACAAAGTTAATTAATAATAAAATTAGCGTTAAATACTTGATAAAAATCATTATATAAATTGTTTCTAAACATATTATGACATCAAATGTAATGGAAGTCTAAATAATTGATAGGATATTGAATTGAAAAGAGGTTTTTGATAAACAATTATGTTTTAAGAATAATACGACAAAAACTTATTGCAATGTTATGGATATTATCAGTCACTTATCTAACAAATATTTGTTAAACAATTGCGTTAACTAAGCATTATTTGTAGACATTATTCAATCGTATTGAATATTTGCAGGTATTTAATAGTATTAATTCGCAATTAGTTTATAAAATACATTCAAAATATTCAAAAACAATACTCAATATTTAATAATAAATGCTTTATAATAATGAAATGCATTTTAAACATGATGAACATTTGAATGTTTAGACTTTATTTTTAGTTTACATGATTATCTATCGACTGAAAATGTTTTGAAGGATGTTTGCATTTTTAATCTAATTTTATGATTCATAAAATAGATTTTTAACAATTTTTAACAAACGATTATTCTTTTGGGTGTAGTTTTTATACATCAAACCAACAAAGCATCGCTAATAAGGGTTTCATCACATATTATATCATATCATAGATAGTAAAATCAGATCCTTGAGAAATGCCAACGCTTTTTATATTTATGATTATAATTACCGGTTTTGTTTTCCTATGAAACATAAAAACATTATATATTTGTATTAATTTTATTACACATATATTTTTGTACTAAAATAATTCGAGCTAAAAATAATACGAAAACAATTTATGAGTAGTTGTTTGTGACAATTAACATGAATGAACATCTAAATAAATTTCTACCATTTGTAATTATAAAATAATTTATTCAAGTGATTTGTAACTTTGCTCAATTGTCTTTATCTTTACAGAACAAATCTACTATTTTCTATAAAAACATTATTATTATAAAGTTCTAAAAAATAATTTACAATTACAGTAACACTATATTGTAAAATCAACAATTATATTCATAATAATAAAAATATCTGTAATCAACAATTTAATTGTATTTAATACAAATTATGTGTCTCCAGAATTGTTTTACAACTTTCGTATATAATCAACAATATTAAGATATTAAAAGCATATTAGTAATCAAACATTAGTTAATTTAAAATACCGTTATATGACATCATATGTTATAATTTTTAAACAATAAATTAAGTAAATCACAAAAAGATTTTAAGGCTATTAATTTGGAAATACAGTAATAATTATTGTTTATTCATTTAGAGGCGAATATCCAGTATTCTCTCGACTTCTCTTAACGTACTTATAGATAATAAAGACAACGATTGCGGCACCGATTAGGGACCCGATCACTATTAAAGCTATTATACCGCCCGACAAACCGTCCGGTTTAGGAGTAGGAGATGGAGACGGAGTTGGAGCTGGAGTTGGAGTTGGAGAGGGAGCTGGAGTTGGAGAAGGGGTTGGAGGTGGAGTTGGAGTTGGAGATGGTGGTTTTGTGGTGGTGGTGTTAGGGGTTATAGTTGTGGTTATAGGTGTGGGTGTAGGTGTAATGGGGGCTGGTTTAGGACATGTGGTCTCGTCGTCACCTTCGGGGCAATTTCTGTGTCCATCGCATTTGAATGACTTGGAAACGCATTGTTTGCCGGCATTTGAACTGCACTTTATATCCGAATTAGATATACAATAACTCATAATCGGATCTGTTTTCAAAACAATAATTATAAATAATTCAAATTGTAAAAATGATTAGTAATGACTGATTACCATGAAATTCTGTGACGATTAAATTAAAACTCGAATTACTGTGATTTCCGGCGTGAAATTGAATGTCAACTGAACCGGACTTTCCTTTAAAAGCCATACCAATGTGTGTTGTATTACTATTACACCATTTGGTTGACGTTTCGTCGACCGAACTCTTAATTAATAAATAGTCACTACACGAGTCATTAGCGCTTCCAATATTGATATTATCGATGCCTAAAACGATGCCTCTCTTTGTGAGCAATGAAGATATAGGTATTTGGATACGAAAACTGCAATCTTTTTCTTTCAACAGTCGGGACTCATTGGCCGATAGGTATAGAATGGCCGGAATTGTAATATCATTTTTGTCCTTTTTTAATGTAATCATTTGTGCCGTTTGATTACCACAATGATCCGAAATGTTGTCTACAAATATTCAAATATATGATAACATGGTTTAAAATTATTTTTGTTTGTTATATTCAATACATTTGGCGTATTTATCGGCAAACATCTCTTCAAATGGACGGCCAGTCGTTAAAACGGGTGTTGTTTCGTATGGTTTCACTTCGGTTATGGTTTCATTGGTTCCGTAAGAGTCGGTAATGATATCAATTTGTGGACTCGACGACTGGGCACAGTTAGTCTCATCGTTACCGGCGGGACAGTTGTCAATGCCATCGCAAGTGAATCCATTGGAAATGCAAAACACTTCGCCCGAGTCCTGGCATTTGAATGGCGTTGAAGCGAGACATTCATTGAAAACGGGTTCTGATATCATATAGACATTGGATCCAATTGTTATACAAAAAATTGTGAAATAAGTAAAAATAAAATATAAATACTTGTATACGGCGTTACAATTAGCTTAAAATACGAGCTATTGTTTGGGAAATTGAATACAATGTCGACACCAGAGTCGGCAAATTGAAGAGGTCTGGCGTCTGAAGTGTTGCACCATTTGGCGATCGGAGACGAACCAAATTCTATGTAATTATCGCAGCTTTGGTCCAAATTAATGATTGATATGTTTTCGACCGAAACAATCAAACCATCGACTTTTGGTGACATAATTATTCTGACAGAACAGGAACTCGACATCAATGGCGAAGACTCTAAGACAATAGCCGTATCGATGGCCGAGTCGTTTAAGACTTGGATGTTTGGATCAAATTGTGGTCCGACACATAACTCGGCCTTTACTTCATCTGTCAATCAAATTAAAAGCCATTTTTAGGCTTCAATTGTTAACTAAATTTACATTTCCTTACATTTGAGATAAGATGTCATACAATGAGTATAACTGAAGGCCACGCAGAAGAAGACAAAGGAATACAAATGGCTTTTTGACCACATCTTCACTAATGAAAAGAGGTCTTAATTATGAATACAATTTAAAGTGAGACTTAAATCAAATCAAAATATTATGATTTATATGTAATTAATGAATAAAAGAAGGAATAAAGAAAATAATTAAGGAAATAAAAAGCAAATTGTATTTCACTTTTCACTGAAATAACACTGAAATCAAATCAACGTTTAATTATTACAATTCTTATCAGTAGTTATGGTCTCAAAACTGGATAAGTATTTGTGTTAATAATTCAATATTAAGTTACTATCGGTTTCCATAACTATTTAAACCTTTGAACACAAAGAAAATAATGTGATTAAAAAATTAACATTTAAATGGATAGCAAATTGTTTTATTAAACTTTTCTAAACTATGTTTCAATACAATACAACTACTGTACCGGTATATAGACTACTAAAATCTTGATTGCATTATTTTTCAATGACTAATACTAATTGCAATTTAATATTATATATTATGAATTTATAATTCATTGACTTTTGTACTAGACTTCGGTCTTATTTATTAGACTAATTTATATTTATATTAAAATTATAAACAAAGATCTCATAATCAGATATACTGTATAACGAAAGTGAAATTAACTTAATGAATCATATTTCCGATGAAATTATATGTGTTATTGATATAATGTTTATTCAATTTAATTCTTCTATAAATTATGATATTATTAATGAATAGTGTTATAAAATATTTGACAACAAATTATTGATTTACCAGTATTTATAATACACTATAAACCGATTGCATTCATATGATTGGCACCAAATTAACACTATTTATTATCAAATTAGGCTCCAAAACAGTTTTCTACTCATAGATTACATTTAATGATAATTTATCATCATTCTAACAACAACTTTAGGCATATTCTTATATACTTGTAATATAAAAGTAGATATGTTAACTTTATAAAATACAGTATATTAACTTATAATGAGCAACTTTATACTGTATTTGTCAATTCTTATTGATTTCAAAGTTTAAATGAAGTGACAATTATAAATTATATAATGACAGATAAACGAGAATTTTGCCCTAAGAGTCAATACATGTGGGTTAGAAATAGAGGTATTATTCATACAATCGTGTGATCTTTTTAATTATCAGAGATTACGTTAAATATACATGTATTCCAACAAAATATTTTTAAAATAATGAAATTAAAACAATAAGCATTTATATTTATTATACATCTATGATATTTGCATTACATTTACAGTAATATATTTATATTTAATTAAAATAATAATTATAGTAAAATGCATCAAAACTATGTCCATTCAGACAAACAAACATTAAATTGAAATAATTGTATCTATTTATATTGTATGTAACAAATAATAATACAATATAAAGGTGTTAATTGAAATTAATTAAATAAATTTGATAGTGTTGTGTAAAAAGTTTTAAAATAGTATAGAAAAGTTACAATTTATGTTTTGTATAAAAACAGTTTATATATTGTTAATACTTAATTATTTTCTCGCAATTCTATCGAGTAATCTCTAAAATATATTTTAAGTTACATAAAAATAAAACAAAATAAAAACATTAATTAACGAATAAAATTATGTNGTTACAATTTATGTTTTGTATAAAAACAGTTTATATATTGTTAATACTTAATTATTTTCTCGCAATTCTATCGAGTAATCTCTAAAATATATTTTAAGTTACATAAAAATAAAACAAAATAAAAACATTAATTAACGAATAAAATTATGTCTAGAAATATTTTGTCATCAAATATACGTCCGGCCTATCGGTCGGTGAATTTGATCTGAAATCAGATTCTTATTTATTATTCAATGCAATATAAATGCATAATTGAGTTATAAAAGTCAATATCACATTATATATCACAGTAATTGGCAATACTTACCACTGAATAGTTTTTAAACATTCACTTCAATTGTTTGATTAGCTCCCAATTCTTCGTGATTTATTTCTTCGATTACATCACCAGTGCTTTCATTTGAAAAGTTATTCATATTTTTAAAGTACAAAATCCTATTGGTTTCAGTTCCGTGTCCTTCGACTTCTAGTCGATCATCAAAAACAGCGATTGTGGCGAACGCTTCAGTTTCGGGCGGCGTCTCAATAATGGCGTGGAATGAGATATAATGAATGCCATTGGCGTACGCGTAACCGGAAGAATGAGCATGGCCACTTAGATATGCCACCACCG